GTATATAGTACTGCAGTAAAACCTTATTGCAGAGCAGAAGGGAGGTATAGAGCTGCTGTAAAACCCAGTCTCTACCTCTATGAGAAACATTGACTGTTGCAGGGGATTCACTCAGATTTGTCCTTCCAATAGATACATGTCTTTATGTGTAAGAAAAAGGATTTACCCTGCGCATAGAGATCAGCATGTTTCTACACTTCAACAAATTATCATTTGCTGTTTGTTTTGTTTTTTAGTAACAAAAAAGATCTAAACATGGTTCAACTTCAGTTAATGCTCACAAAGTTCTGCTTGAGGACTTCTGAATGGAGCAGAGTTTTTAAAAAAAAATGCATAATCAATGCATTTCTGTATGGCTTTGGCTTGATTACTGCTCCGACTAGATTTTTGTTGTGCAAATATAATTTTTAGAGTTTGTATTCTCCAGTGATTGATTATTATATTGCTAAATTCAATATACATTGCTAAATGAATTTACCGTCTGAAGAGCTGTACTAAATGACATTTCGTTTTGTATACACTGTATACATTACAATAGAAGTTGCCTAAGTCTAAGTACAAATTGGCCGAAAGATATTTCAGTAATCAATTAATCTTATTGATTGTTTTATCCCCAAAACAATCAAACTAAATCCAGCAGCAGTAACTTTTAAAAACAAGAATTCCCTTTAGCTGGAGGTGATTTGCTAATCATTTCTGTTCTAGTTGCTGTTGGACTAAATCATTTAGGCTTCAATAATCTGGTTGCATTTTGTTGACATTCTTGTTTATGTAAATTAGAAATGTCACCTGTGCTGTCCTTTGGACCGCAACAAAATTTTAGTTTTCACTTTTTTAATAAGAGGGATTTTGTATGACTCATTTTTGCTTCTGTGCGTTTGACATTTGTAGCTTGAGACATGATGAGGTTGGAAAATCTTTTTCAAACTTCTGAACTGTTTTGTTATTTAACAGGGGGACAGAGTTTTTATCATTTCAACATGCCTATATGAATTGTACATAAAGAGTCACTGGTTCCTGTGTTGGCCTTTCTTTTTTTCAGAATAAATGTAAATATCCCTTAATTTAGGGGATAGCCACTCCTACCTCAATTAATGATTAATTGTGACGAATTCTTGTCTAGTTATTGACAACAGGATATGAGGGTTAACATCCCTAATGTTTCCAAAGGTCTGGTTCTCCAGTGTTTTTCCATCCTAGTGCATTGTAACACATTGCTCCATTGTGATGGAAGACCTTTAACTGACCATATTATTCTTAAATTATTGGAAGATGTAGCTTTTTAAGATTCGAGCCATGTACTTTTTTATGCCAATTATTTGCAGATTTGGGAGGAAACCCAATGCTTTTGTTGTGGAGCAACCCTTAACATGGTTTATATTAAGACAGGGTTTTTATCGCTCTAAAAAGGAATTTTTAGATATGCTAAAAGTTAGAATAAATATTTGTCTGGGAAAAGATCTTGCTTACTATCTTTGGACATCCTGCAGGAATTTATTGTGTTCTTTGGTTCCTGGGGACAGAAGTGGCTTCTTTGCATCTTTGTGTGACCTCAAATTTTGTAAAACTGCATCTTTAGTTTTAACCTCAAGTTCAGATTCGATTGAATATAAGTTGCTACTATCTTTTTTAAATTAAAAGAACAGAGTTTAAGCTCTTCTGCAGCACCTTGTTAGTTATACTTCAAGCATCCAGCTTTTGGTGTGATTTCATGCACAGCATTCCTACGCAGTCTTACTGCCGTTTGATATTAAACTTTTAGCAGGTTTTACAGAGTATAAGCAAACATGACTTTATCGTTATCTGTTTTCCTAAATGTTGTGTCCAGGAGTCAGTTTATTGGCTTTGCTGTTTTTCTTTCTATCCATCTATTCCTCAACCTGCCTTTCACTCTGTCTCACTTCCTTTCTTCCATACTTTTTCCAAATTTTTTGTCTTTCTTTCACTCTGTCCTTCCCACTTTGATTTTCACTTCTGTTGTTAATTCCTTTCATACTTCCTATTTAGGACCCTCATTCTGTCCTTCAAATTCATCGTTTCTTTTATAGTTCCATATTTAAAGCCTGACCACTTCAGAAATGTCTGCTTGAAATTCATTAACATAAAGAAGATGACGGGCTAGGATTTAGAGCTCTTTGATTTAAGTCTGGGAAAGAATAACATTTTGACATGAAAAACGTGTAGTTACCCTTTTATCATGAGACATAAAATACCCAAACCTGTTAAAGTGGAATTTAAATGTTAATGTTTTTGGAGACGTGAGCTTATTCATGTCCTTTGGCAGTACTGGATGAGAATGTAGTGCTGCCTTTATCGTCTGCAGCAGAGTTAGAGGATGATTCAGCTGGTGTACACACACTTCACTCTTATTTATTTGCAGTACATATTGTCATTAATGTGGCTTCTTTTGGTCTACATTTCTTTTAGCAGCTGAGGTTGGATTTCAATGTATGGTGCAGTATTATTCAGGCCATTACTTTTTTTAACGGTATAGGTGGAACAGTAGAGCAAAGAGTAATAGGTCCCATGTGATCTTCTCATAACTGCTCATTGAGCTAGAATAATGCGCTTTTCACTACATTAGGGGATTCAGAGTCCCACTTGGGATCCGTCAGCAGTTGGAGATCTTTTTGTTGTTTTTTTCCCTTCATATAGCGACTCATTTCTAACCCATACATACAGTAAATAATTAAATGAAAAAGAAACACATTTTTTATTCTTTATCAGACAATCAATTAGACTGACTATCATGTTATTGCAAAATTCTAAGCACATAATCTAATATTTATTTCTTTTTTTTAGTGAAACGCAGCAATTAGAAGTGACAATCCTTTAAGGAATAATGCGTATTTCCTGATCTAGAAAGGAGTTTTTTTTGGTACTGTATTAAAGGAATCGTGGATGAGCTAATTCTTTTCATCATAATCTACAGTAGAATGGTGTTACCTGTGATTAACTCTCTGCCAACTAATCAATAACTTTAACAAAACATGAACTCACCGGTGCTGTAATTCCTAAGGTATGAAATGTTCTTTTTCAGCTTCCAGTCATAACAAACGGCATGATAACACTATTATAACCCATAGACACCATAACTCATGTAAGATCACACTGTATAAAAAAAAAGGTAATAATGTTGTTAAAGCTATATTTCACTTATGGTTCTGTTAGAAGGTAACGCAGGGTTCGGAATAAGGAAATAAATAGATAAGATATATTCATGTTTAGAAAGCTGTTCCATCTAAAGAAAATGCTAGTGTTGTATTCTAAACAACATAAAAAAAAATAGCAGTGGATACTTTTACCCACCTGACTAAAAATATACTTTTAACTAAAATTAATTCTTCCACTTATGAAATCTAGAGATGAAAGGGTGTATGCACATTTGTTTAAAGGTTTTTTTTTTTTTTTTTGTACGAAAGGAAATCCTGAAAAAAGCTGTTAATAATTATATTAGGAAACTGTGAGCATAACTCAATGTTACCATGAAGACAAAACATCCACATCCTTTCTCTGTTTGTGAGGATTATCTGCAGTCATGCAGTAAGATTTAAGCCGCTCTTCTGCATGATGAGGTAAGTAGCAGAACGTGTAGAAGAAGGAAAGGCATTTGTTTGTTCCCCTTAGCTGCTTCTCAGAGAACTTTCCACTTGTTTCCAAGACTCCATCAGAACATCTGAATAGAACATAGATAAACAATAATAGATTAGTCTGAAGATATTATTATGTAACTGTTTTAGCTAGTTTGCTTGAAGTCTTTACTGACTGCTTCTTTGAAATGTTTTAATGTTTATTAGTTTTGCTGTTAAAAAGAGATATTATAAAGGGGCTGTTTTTTAAAGCCTTGCTCCTTCACAGCCTCGTCCAAACAAAACCCAGTTAATGTTATTGGTATTTACCAAGCATCACAGATCCATGTGCGCCTATCATAAAACCTGCTGAGGGATGATTATGTGCAGAAATTACAAGAAAAAATGTAAGCAGAGGAGTCAAACTTATACTTCTTAACATCATCTCCAAAATTTTTTTTCAATGCATTTAAGGTCTATAAGAAGAAAATAATAGAGTTAAAGTCCTGCAGTATGTAAAAGGGTAAACATCTGAGTCTGGTTACATGTGAATCTGAATGTGTCTGAGTGCTCCACTACTCTCCCCAAAGACAATAAGATCAAGAGTTTCTGTTGGAGAGCAGCACAAGCTATTTTTATCCCCACATCATAGATAATAGATTCCTTTGGTATCAACCAGTACCATTAGGCCCACGCATTATGGTTAGGATGTGATTGTTAGAATATGTAAAATATGTGAACAGTCTCAAATGTAAAAGGCGTCCCTGTGGTGAAAATAAATAAATACATAGCAAGTGTCTGCTCTAAACGGCTGAATTTGAGTGGGCGACAGTCTGCCGAGGGATATTCCCAGTTGTCTCTCCATAATAAGCAGAGACAGCTACCTTAAGTCACCCTGCAAGGTTGGTGCTGTGATTCTGCAGAGAAGATATTCAGCGGGAGCAAAAAAGGAAGGAGGAGTTTTTAACCTAGAAGGCCTTACCTCGCGTTTTGTTGGTTTGTTCTGGACGCGTTCTACTGCTGTTTTTGTTTCGTTCCGTTGACTTATCGCACTGTGAAAATTAAATCGGAATGGATGTAAGATGATCTTCTTTTATTACAAGGAAATAAATAAAAAAAATGTGGCGAGAGGGTTGGAGTCTCTGAGGGAGGTAGTGAATGGCCGAAACCTAATTACAGTGAACTGAAATGCACACAGAGCAGCATTTTTCTGCTTTACAACACTATGTCCTATGTCAGCAGGTTCACATTTGTCCCACAGAGTTCTGCATTTCCTCAGCCTTACTCTAGAGGAAGTTAATGTATCAAAATACATATTTTTGGTGTGTGTGTATATATATAATAAAAACAATTTTATATCATCTGATGACAATGCTATATATGAGAGGATTTCTTTTTATTTAGATTGAGATTGTTTTTCTCTCTTTACAGGATGGAAAACAACGAAAAGAAAGAAAGAAGACTGTCTCATTCAGCAGCATGCCCACTGAGAAGAAGATTAGCCGGGTCAGCGACTGCATTAACACCATGGTGGACGGCTCAGAGCTGAAAAAAGTGCGATCCAATTCACGCGTTTACCACCGTTACTTTCTTCTTGATGCTGACATGCAATCATTGAGATGGGAGCCAACAAAGAAGGAGTCTGAAAAGGCAAAAATTGATGTGAAATCTATCAAGGAGGTTCGGACTGGCAAGAACACAGAAACTTTTAGAACTAATGGCACCTATGATCAGATATCAGAGGATTGCGCCTTTTCAATCATCTTTGGGGAAAATTATGAGTCCCTGGACTTGGTGGCAAACACAGCAGATGTAGCCAATATATGGGTGACAGGTCTAAGGTACCTTATCTCTTATGGGAAGCATACCTTGAATATGATCGAGAGCAGCCAGAACAACTTGCGCTCATCTTGGTTAAGCGACCTCTTCGATGAAGAAGATGTTAACCACAACAGACAGATACCAATGTGTGCTGCCGTGCAGCTAATAAAGAAACTAAGCCCAGGTTTAAAAAATGTGAAAATAGAACTGAAGTTCAAGGAGCTTCACAAAGCTCTTGACAAAAGTGGGTCTGATGTGACAAAAGAGGAGTTTGCTGAAGTCTTTCATGATCTTTGTACAAGACCAGAGATTTATTTTCTTTTTGTTCAGTTTTCCAGCAATAAGGAGTTTCTTGATACTAAAGACTTAATGATTTTTCTGGAGGCAGAGCAGGGAATGGCTCAGGTCAGTGAAGATACCAGCTTAGAGGTCATTCATAAGTATGAACCATCCAAAGAGGGCCAACTTAAAGGATGGCTCTCCCTTGATGGGTTTTCTAACTATCTTATGTCTGCAGAGTGTCACATCTTTGACCCTGAGCACAAATCTGTTTGCCAAGACATGAACCAACCACTGTCTCACTACTACATCAATGCTTCCCACAACACGTACCTGATAGAGGATCAGTTCAGAGGTCCTTCAGATGTAACTGGGTATATCCGTGCTCTGAAGATGGGCTGTCGATGTGTGGAGCTAGATGTGTGGGACGGGCCTGATAACGAGCCTGTTATCTACACTGGTCACACAATGACCTCCCAGATTGTTTTCCGCAGTGTTGTAGATGTCATCAATAAGTACGCTTTTGTTGCCTCAGAGTTTCCCCTGATTCTCTGTTTGGAAAACCATTGTTCTGTAAAGCAGCAGAAAGTCATGTTTCAGCATTTGAAGAAGATCCTTGGTGACAGGATCCACATAGATGCTCCAAATCTCGAGGACTGTTACCTCCCATCTCCATCTGAGCTGAAGGGGAAGATCCTGCTGAAGGGTAAAAAGCTGGACACAAACTGCACTGCTTCAGAAGGAGAGGTGACGGATGAGGACGAGGGGGCAGAGATGTCTCAAAGAATGAGCATCGAGTCTGCAGAGCAGCAGACTAATGCACACAAAAAGATCCCTCTGCTGAAGGACCTCTCCGACCTGGTGACGTTGTGTAAGTCTGTTGAGTTTAAAGACTTTCCGACATCTTTCCAAAAGCAGAAGCCCTGGGAGCTCTGCTCTTTTAATGAAGTGTTTGCCACTCGCTGTGCCTGCGATTTCCCTGGAGACTTTGTTAACTACAACAAGAAGTTTCTTGCACGAGTTTACCCGAGCCCAATGCGGATCGACTCCAGTAACATGAATCCGCAAGATTTCTGGAAGTGTGGCTGCCAGATTGTAGCTATGAACTACCAGACTCCAGGTCTGATGATGGATTTGAACATTGGTTGGTTCCGTCAGAATGGCAACTGTGGCTATGTTCTTCGGCCAGCAATCATGAGAGAGCAGGTCTCATATTTCAGTGCTAACACAAAAGATTCAGTGCCTGGGGTCTCTCCACAGCTCTTGCACATCAAGATAATCAGTGGACAAAATTTCCCCAAACCCAAAGGCTCAGGTGCCAAAGGAGACGTGGTGGACCCCTATGTATATGTGGAAATACATGGCATTCCTGCGGACTGTGCAGAACAGAGAACTAAAACGGTCCACCAGAATGGGGACAACCCACTGTTTGATGAGAGCTTTGAGTTTCAGATAAACCTCCCTGAGCTCGTTATGGTGCGCTTCGTGGTTCTAGACGATGACTATATTGGGGATGAATTTATTGGCCAGTATACGATCCCCTTTGAGTGTCTACAGCCAGGTTTCCGCCACGTCCCACTTCAGACTCTAACAGGAGAGTTGCTGCCACATACTTTGCTGTTTGTCCATGTTGCCATAACCAATCGAAGGGGAGGAGGAAAGCCACACAAAAGAGGATTGTCTGTAAGGAAAGGCAAAAGGAGCAGAGAGTATGCCAGTATGAGAGTCCTGCAGATAAAGGCCATTGATGAGGTTTTTAAAACCGCCCTTCTGCCACTCAGGGAGGCCACAGACCTTCGGGAAAACATGCAGGTAAGACCTGACTGAATTTGATTTCTTTTTTATTCTTACTTAAAAATGTTTGAGGATTAACCACAGGGTTTTCCTAAGTTATTGACATGTCTTATCATGGTTTGAAAATAATAATTGTCTGTATTTTTATGCCACTTTACACTGGTGAAGATTCTCAGTCATCCAAGTCATAGTCATTCCAAAAAAGTCAAAAAACAATCCACTGGACTTTGTATCCAAGTTTGAAGACGTTTCGCTTCCCATCTAGGAAGCTTTTTCAATTCAAAATGTCAGAAATAACATTGAGTTTGATGCTTTATAGAGTGGACCAAAAACAAAGACAGTTTTAGAACAGAACATCTCGCCTGTTCAGCTAGGCCAACAGTTCACCCTAACGACCCCCCTTTAACAGACATAGACAGATTAGGGTGTTGTAGGCTAATAAAGAACCCAAATGACTGCCCATTGCCGTTCGTCCGGTTCAGTTGCATGTTTTCTAAGCCAAAACAAGCCTTTGTTTTTGGTCCACTTTATAAAGCTTGGAACTCAATACTATTTCTGACATTTTGACTTGGGAAACAGCTTCCTGGATGGGAAGCGAAAGGTCTTCAAACTTGGGAACAAAATCCTGTGTTTTTTTTTAAACTTTTTTGAATTATGCCACTTTATGTTTATGGCTTTTATTTATCTGAAATGTTTTAATTAAACTTGTTTCTTCAAATTGTTGTTTGAGAGGAGAGTCACCTGCTCCACTTTGCAGCAGTACATCTGTTTCTGTCTGTGAATCTGTTTGTGCTACATCAGCCAAGTTTGGCTCCAGTTATTGGCAGGTTCATCTAAGCTACGGTGTCTACACAGAAATGGCAGGTGAAGCCTTTGATTCGCTGCCAAATGAGGCCGCTCATGAAAAGCTGCAGTTTTTAAATGCCAAAGTGGTAGAAAGACTGGAAGAGCTTTAGATTAGACGGTGATAGATGAAGATTAGCTACACACTGAGTAAATGTTGAGACCTAGAATGCACATATGAGCCAGTGGAAAACCTACCCTTATTTATTTAAGCTCTACACTCTGTTGTGCTTTTATGCATAATATTAAGACTTTGTTAACTTATAATGGATAAAATAAAATAAAAACTTTTTTTTAAGTTAAAGGGATAGTTCGGGATTTTTGACATGAATCTGTATGGCATCCCCATCACCAGTGTCATGCAATCACACTGACTTACCCCTGGCAGCATCCTGTGAGCAGAGTTCTCGTCCAGCTTTGGTCAAGCCGAAAGTAGTCCGGCAGGTTTGCTAGACCCAGCGAAATAAAACGTTTCTCTTCCCAAAACATTATGTGTTCAAAAGAGTGATATTTTTGCATCCCAAAAACATTGTAGTGGAAAAAGTCACACGTCGTTATCGCTTGGTCCTATTTTCTCTCTGTTCGTATCAGTGCGCGCGACACCATGACCTGACAGCTAGGGCCTACTAACCTGACAACAGCCAGATGCATGTATCGCTCCGCCTAGCTCCTAGCTGGGCGGAGCGAGACATGCATCTGGCTGTTGTCAGGTTAAGGGCCTACCTGTTTGATTCGCGATTGTTTACTACTGGGGAAGATGTCTGACTACGAGAGCGACGAGGAAAACATCGACTTCCATTTAGAGCCAAAGGGATATCTTTATGAACCCGAGTACACTGACGATGAACTTCGACAAATGGAGTTAGATCGGGCAGAAAGAGAGAGGGTGGACAGAGAAGTGATGGAAGCTGAAGCCGGAGCCGCAGGAGCCTCAGCTGGAGCTGCGATATCCAGGGTGACCGACAAATCATGGTGCACTTGTTTCAAGTGCGAATTAATGCAGACAGAGGTGGATGCTACTGTTGCCACGAGTGGGATTTAGTAATGCCCGAGATACAGAACCTTTCCATTGATGAGGATGTCGGAGTTGCAGCAGCTGCTGTCTGCATCACAAACAACAGCGACTTCCCTGCCCTCCTCAAAGTTGAGCTCGCTGTCTGAATGACGGCGCGCACTGATACGAACAGAGAGAAAATAGGACCAAGTGATAACGACGTGTGACTTTTTCCACTACAATGTTTTTGGGATGCAAAAATATCACTCTTTTGAACACATAATGTTTTGGGAAGAGAAACGTTTTATTTCGCTGGGTCTAGCAAACCTGCCGGACTACTTTCGGCTTGACCAAAGCTGGACGAGAACTCTGCTCACAGGATGCTGCCAGGGGTAAGTCAGTGTGATTGCATGACACTGGTGATGGGGATGCCATACAGATTCATGTCAAAAATCCCTAACTATCCCTTTAAAGGACTTATTAAATTTATTTTTATATACAAGTTAGTGCCGCTGTATATAAAATGCTGAAGACTGGCCTTTTTATGTTCAAATCAGTTAATTACCACAAATGTATAAGAATAATTTTGCTGTGTGATAATATTTTTATGGTTTTTACAGAACATGAATCAATGAATGTGTGTTGAGAAAATAGTTCACTTGAGAAGAAATTCTAATTTAGCTTTACTGCAGTAAAAAGCCATGACAGACTCACTTTACCTTTTCCCATAGGCCATGTAGGACACATAACAAGCATTTTGAAGAATGTTTCTGATTAGAAGAGATCATTTATATTTTTTTCTTGCTTTCATGCAAGATAATTTGTGTTTTAAGAATTGATATATCACTGTATGGCCGGCAGCAAAGCTGGTCTAAGTTGTTGGGAAAAATGATAAAGCCAGAATCAAAACAGTTCTAGAATAATGCTGTTAGAAGTTAGAAAAAACCTCCCCTTCCAATCGGACAACAATCCAGCACATCCTGCTAGAGCTGTATTGGAATCCTTTACATTAAAGTATATTAAAAGTGCCCAGTCAAAGTCTAGACATAAAATGAATTAAGAGGTTGTCAAAGTTGGATAATTGATATTCATGGTTGCAATCTGTCCAGTCTGAGTGATAATATGCTGGTTTACCAAGAAAAATGGACAAAAATGTCCAAACAACTTGTTGTTTTAATTCTTGAATAGAAGGAGATGCTTCTTTCAACCTGGTTTTGGATGTTTTTCTTCCCCCCTTAATAAATTAAATTATATAAGTACGGTCACATTCTGAAAGTCGTATCAGTTTTTATCATGTAAATGTGGGGGAAAAAAAAGAATTGTTTGTAGAGATAAAAACATGTATTTACACCATTGTATGCATTTAAGTACAGCTACCAGTGAAATATGCAGCTATAGTTCAAGGGGTCAACATGTGACCTTAATTAGATCTTTTTTCCATGATTGTTATTAATAGCATATTGAGAAAATAATCATCTGTATGTCAGTGCTAAAAAATCTTCCCCTTTCCAACACCCCCTTCTTTTTAGGATCTAGGAGCTCATTATTAACTCCAACAATATTTTGACTAAATTAAATTAAGACTTAATTAAAATAGGCAACATAGATAAGACTGATTTAACTCAAGTTTATCTAGGAAACAGAAAGATATTATCCAATGCAAACATTTTCCCTAATATTTGTGTAAGAATCTCTAAAGCAAAGTACGCTCTAGTTTCATGAGAAAAGTAGTGTAGGACATCCAGCCTCACTGTGTTTGGCATAATGTTTTGTTCCTTCAGGCAGTATATTAGATGTTATTTTGGTCCTCCTGTTTATATCGCTGCTGCATTGTGAGATAACAAGCCAGCAACCATGAGACTTTAACACATCTTGATCTCTCCGTCACAGTTTGTCCCTGCGGTTGTTTATGTTAGGGTTAAATTTGGCCTTTCACAGGAAGTTTAGTGTTTTCGTGGGTGCATGTTTCATTTCCACTTGATGTTTGTGTCAGTACAGAAGGCTTGGGTGCTTTGGAGTAGCTAACAAGTGCCAAAAAGAAACTTCTCACAGGCAATGACAGCTTCCAGCTTCCCCTCTGTCACACAGCTGATCTGGTTTTATTGCTTTTAATGTACCTGAAATAAAGTTTCAACTGAAAGGCAAAAAAGAACAAGGTTTCCAGATTAACCCTGTTTTTAATTATATTTTGTTTAACAGTGGAAATTCATTTCCCCATCTGTATTTTTTTCTCCACAATGCAGAATGCCATAGTGTCCTTTAAGGAGCTCTGCGGCCTTTCAGCGGTGGCCAACCTCAAGCAGTGCATCTTGGCTCTCTCCCCTCGACTGACAGGGCCTGACAACAGCCCCCTCCTGGTGTTTAACCTGACTGACCAGTACCCTAACCTGGAGCTCCAAGGCCTGCTCCCAGAGGTCCTGAAAAAGGTCGTCAGCACCTACGATATTGTGAGTAATAGTCAAAAATCAGTTCAATTCAAATATTACTTTATCAGTACAAAGGAAAAATTAAATGTTGCAGTAACTCAGGGGCAGCTTTTCCAACAAATGTTGTGTGTATGTATTCATATGTTTATTTATAACGTCTTGTTAAAAAAAGTTTGTTTTGTCGAATCAGAGTCTCAAACTTAAAGAAATTAGAAATTCTTTTTAAAAGAAAGGGAGCAGCAATTTGTTAATGTATCAAATTCCCAGTCAATAGCTGATTTTCATCTAGCAACCCAGCTTTGGCTTCTATTAAATCAATATCCTGATTGTACTTAATATAATAGGAACATAGTGAAATGATTAGGTAATATAGCCTGGAACTACGTAGGTACTGCAATCAATGTTGAAAAGTTATGCAACGTGTCACTGAGGTCATTATAGATATTATGGTTGACAGAACATGTTCTTTGGGCTCAGAGTGAATAAAACATGGACTACTGCAACATAAGCAGGAAAAAAAGTAAAATAAAGATCTTACAACTCTGTTTATTTACATGAATTGTTGTTCTCTAGTCATACATTTTTAAAGGTAATAAAATCCTTAAAATCCTTTTCTTAAACAAAGCACACCGTCTATAAATCATTTTGTTTTACGCATATTAAAGGAGCACAGTGCAAGCTCCAGAGTTTTTGCCAACTTTTGTCCCCTCTGACGACAAATCGAAATGACACCATGACAGAGGAGAAAAAAGCTCTCCAGACTTTTGCTATGACTGCACAGGCCTTTTGTTTAGAGGAGTAATGTCATTTGGGGTAAGAAAGGTATACATTTTGAGATTAAGTTGCCATGGTTTGTTAAGCATTGTTTCCCAAACTCATATACCTATTGATTGAGAGTTTGGATATAAGTCGGTACCTATTGTCAGTATAATAGATACCGACTGCCTGCTTGGGAGTCTGATTGTTTGAATATCCTCTTTTGATAGATTATAGCTGGGGTTAAAGAAAGCAAGCCAGGCTAATGGTAGCATCCTTCTACAAATGAAGTAAATTAAAGATGAGGTTTCAAAATGTGATTTTGTGGAGTGCCTAACCTCATGGGCTTTTCTGGTTTTAACAGAGAGCCCACATAAAAAAAAAGAGACAAGCCACTTCATACTCTGGATTGTTTGGCCGGTTTCAACTAAAGTCTAACACCAACGCATGCACTTATCATAAAAAGTCGCATTTCCAGGTGATAACACTTTTAAAAGAGTACCGCTTAAAACTCTTAAAACAAACTAAGGTAGGGCAGTGAAGCAGCATTGTAAAGCAAATTTCCCTCCAAAAATGTAAATTGAAAATAATAATAAGGGTTTGATTATGGAAAGGTTTAGATATTTAACATCAAAAAAACTTTTAGGAAACACACATATGACTATGTGTTATAACCTTCAATAGGAGGCACAGAGAGGGGAAGGGCACAGATCATATCGGTATTTGTGTATTTGTTTCATTAATTAAAAACATATGCTCATTTATGGACGGCTGTGTAGAAGAGTTTATTACACGATTAGATTACAGAAATTCTGTTTGGATCATTTAATTACTTGTAAAAGCTGTGAAAAGAATTCCACAGCAACACAATTAAGTCCTATCTATACTTACCTGTGCTATCTTTATATCGGCCTCTTCTGGGACTAAAATGTGAGTGCATTTAGAGTGGTACCATCTTGAAATAACCTAGATGCAGAGTGATTACGTGGCTTACCCTGCTCAGTTCACTCTTAAAGTGAAAGGCTGATTAATTAGCCTGGGTGGAGGCAACCTGGCTGTTGTTTATGGAAGAACATCAAACAAATGTTGGAAGAACTTCTTGAAGAGCTGTAAAGCTAGTGGCTGTAGACAGTAGCATGAATCAGAGGGAGATAAGGAAACAACCAGTAGCACAATGTTAATGATGTATGATTGCCACCAGATATTGAAACAGATAGACATGTTTGTAAAATTATTTGTTAAATTAGACAAAAGGATTGAAATAACTATTTCTTTGGTTTGGTTTTAGAGATGGTTTGGTCATTTGATGGTTTACATGTCTGAATACAGTCTATTGGGTTACTGTTGGAGGAAAGCGATAATAAAATGGGCCAAAAACATGTTGTAAATATGCTGTATATGTTTATAGTAAGGCATACAAAATAGGCAGGAAGTTAGGAAATATAAGAGCTCTATGTGTGAGCATTTCTATTAACTGATCAAGGCTTTCTGTTGCAGTGTTTCATAGAAATTAAGTAGGATTTCATATCCTGGCTGTCACCAAATCTGGGTATTATTTCTAATTCAAATTAGTTAATCAACAACAGAAGGATAGCTGCTCATGGTTCTAAATAATGTGTACTGGTTTATGTTTATGCCTCTTTTATATAGGCAAAGTTCACTATTTTTAATGGTGGTTAATATCACAGCCTGACTCTAAAAGCCCCAGTAACCTTCTCCATCACACATTCATAACACAAACTGATGGAATCTTTCGGTTTTAAGGGGACTTAGAAAGAGGTAACGCCACCTGGACCATCTAATAAAGATTTCTCCTGGTGTGCCCTGCAAAGCAAGTCTCATCTCTGTAAATGTTCTTTAATTATTGACAAACAGTGCAACTTATTTATGGTGACTAGCAGAGCTCATTTGAACACCATAGAAGTGTAACTATTGCTTTTCTTACCGTTTATTATACTGATGAGAGGTTCTATGTTCTGGTTGGTTTTGAAAGAAGTGTTTAGATTAAAAAATAAACATCTACTTTTAAAATTGTGTATTTTAGACTTGAATTTGTAAGACTAAAATAGACTGTTCTGTAATTATTCTAAGTGTGTCTGCACTAGAGTTCCACATAAAAACTAATAATATAGTAGATGTGTATACATCTAAGGCAAATGTGTCCTTCATACCTTAGTGTTAATGAGTGACTGAGCTATCGCTGCCTTTCAATCATCTTGAGCCTATCGGCCCATTTTCCCCTGACCTCTTACACCAACAGGGCCTTTTCATCCAAACAACTGCTGGTTACTCATTTTCTTCTTTTTCAAACCATTTTCCTTCAATCCTAGAGATGTCTGTGGACTGGTTATCCCATTTTATCAGTGGTTTTGGACATACTAGATTATTTTACTCACATTTACTCAAATTAGTCTGGCTGCAAAAACCATATCAGTTCTTGTGTAGAATTAATAAGCAGATTAGATTATGATTTTTGGGAGGAAAGCTGTGTTTTTATAACCATATATATGACAACATTCCAGTAAAGGCAGTGTACAATTTGAGAAATGCTTTATAATTTATAAGTATGCCTTTTTTGAAACCTGTGGCCTTAAAGTTTAAAATAATTATTTTAATTGAATTAGCTTACAACCCAGACCGTATCAAACATGTTATACTATTTGTAAGATAAATTCTATCACCAAGGTGTCATGGAAGTAATTACAATAATAGACATGACCATGGTAGTTAGGAGGTTTTTAGTGTCCAAATAAAGCCCCGTCCACCCTTTTAACTTAAAAACACGTCTCTTCTATATTTATTTAAGACACTGCTTGTGCAATGAAGACAGTAATTTATTTACCCATCAGGAAGGTAATCACAGCTCTTAAGTGCTGGAACCACAGCTGCAGCGATACAAATGCTTTGTTATTACTGCTCACAGAATAACATGGTGATTCATGGTGTCGGCCTGGTGCTACTCTCTGCCCAAAACACGGCACCCAGCAGCAGGTCATAGACTGTGTAAAAATGACATGATGGGTTTGTTTTTGTTCGCAGAAAACCTTTTGCATTATCTCGGTTGATATCTTTAACGCCTGGGTTTAAGCTTCAAAATTTCAAATAGGTTTGTGTGCATGGAAACCAAATGAGTTTTCTCATACTGTTACAGTTACTGAAATGATAATCAAAAGCTGCTGTAAAAACCAGCATTATTAAGTTTTGATTATTAGGCTCAGTCAGAAACCTTTAGAATGAAAAAGATAGAACCAACGCAGCTTAGTTCTCCGTGGAATAGAATAACCCACTGCAGGGTGTGGACTTTTAAACTTTCCACACCTTTTACCTGGTCATTAGACACTAAGAAAAAAATCAAAATGCCTATTATAACCTTTTTAAACATGTGTGAAAGAGTAACTAATTAAAGACAACTAAAGCCAGAGGCTCTGTTGATGACAGACTACAAGTCTTTTCAGGATGTGGTTGTTGGTAATTCAGAGTATAGTTTCCTTTTGGTAAAAATATGTTCAAGACTAAAACCTATTGCATGGTCAATATGTTCTCAAGAGATGAAGGGCTGTGTGCGAGACAAATTTTAATAGTTTAGTCCCAACAGTGCATTCCTAAATAATTAATTGGCTGCATTCAGCAATCTTAAAGCTTACGTTCTTAAAAATTGTTACAGAAGTTTCCCTTTCCTGCTTTAATATTTACATACATTATCAAGACGTATTGCACAAAATGTCTTATTTGTTACCTTCAAGGAAAAATAACCTGTAGTAGATATTATATTATTAGATTTTTCAGTATTTAAAAAGCCAATCACCATATAGACCTTATAAAGGGGGAAAAAAAACATATTTCAGTTACTGACTGATAAGTGAAGATACAACTTACATGGCCCCACATATATTTTCTTCTTACCTGTATATATCTGTCCACAATTCCTTCTCTAACCTCAGCCTGAAGCCATATTCTGTCGCGACTCCAATGCTGACCGCACAGAGCACAGAGTATTTTCTGTCTGCATTCATGATTGGGAGAAATCTTTTAATATGTAAATGGTTCATCATGCAACTTCCTACAGTCTTCAGGTCAGCAGAGTTTATGCATTCAATTAGGGCACAGCATAGCACCAGAGGAGCTAAACTTAGCTTCCTCCACAGCTGTACTGTCACAGATAACGTGCTAATGATGTGAATTCAACTGACATGTTTATGTTTTTATCAGTTTCTGCTCCCATTTAAAGACAATTACAGGGGTTACTATTTTTATTTTTATGCTTCAAATGAGAAATATTCTCAGCTTGCAAGAAATTAAAACAACTCTTTCCTTTAACTTCAGTTTGCAAAATATGCATTTAATGACCTTGCCCACAGAAATCTCTGCAAAAACATCTTACATTCTCTGTTTTACGTGAATGAATTATTATTTTTTTTTTTATGCTTTTTTTATTTCAGATGATCCAGACCAGCAAGGTGCTGCTGGAGAGCTCTGATGGTGTGTATGAGAGGATTTTGCAAGCTCAGAGAGCAGGTAAGGCATAAGCATAAAAATTGTATTTTTAGTTATATATGTCTAAATCAGAGCAGATTTTGACCAAAACAGGAAGGGCGGTTTGGTTTCTTTTTATTCGTGCACTTTTTAAATTTGCATTTTTGGAGAACGTTTCACTGTATTAAAATGTTATTAAAACTATAGTAGATCACAGTAGTGGGATGACTTTCACCCCACAGCTTCTCAGGGATCCATACAAAACAACAGTTGTCATTTAACTTCCTTTTGACTATATTCAGCGCTGGCCTTTTTATTTGTTTCTATGACCTCATTCTTGCATTACAAATTCACACCTTTGACCCAGCCTTTAGTTTTATCTTCAAGCGTGTTGTGACATATTGACTTAGTGAGGTCGGGGACAAAGTTTATTCAGTTCACACACTTGAGGAAACATGCTGAATAGACAGTTCTCTCTACTTTCAGTTATGCCAATTTAAGTGAATAGCAGATTATTTTTATTTAGGTATACATACAATTCTAATCATCTTTGTCAATCTCATCACAGAAAATTTTGGTAACATAGCCAATTATTTTTTAAATAGTTGAGTCTGTGGATATGCTTAATACGATTATACAATAAATGGATGGAGCATTATTACCACAACTAAAGCTCTTTGTATTTTATAGGAATAGAAAGATTTAGTCTAGTGGAACTAACCTAGTGTGACTACATAAATATATTTTTTAGAGTTTTCAATTTGGAAATGGTTTAACATGGATTTTTAAGCCTATTCAACTACATCTAGCTAACATATTTTTCTTCTATGTAATTTTATTGCATTTAGTTTGATGCCATAAAGTAGCTGCATTAAATCAGTGGTTCTCAACCTACAAGGTGCCACCCCCAATTTAACACGCACTGCTGTCCACGACGCCCCTCCAACGCATGTATCCATATAATTATACGTCACATTTACACAACCAGACAATCTTTTATTAACTCACTTCAGCTATTAGTCTCTTTATCATTTTATTTTAAAATAAAATTGGATTTATTTTAAAAACATGAAGCATCATCAAGATTTAAACAAATAAAGGCAAGTTTTTAATTTCTTTCTAATACATGATAACAGTGTGTTTTAAACTTAAAATTTTATTTCAAAGATGTATGTTTCTGAGAGTTTAAACATAAAAAAAAAAATAAATAAATAAAAAATTCTGCAACTATTTAATGTGACGGTTGGCCCTGCTTGTTTGAACAAAGCAGATTTTTGGCTCTATTTTAGACACATCCACACGGAGATCATTCTCAACTCTGAGGAATCCGTATTTGTTTTTCATGTATTATCAGTGCAGAAAAGGTCAGACATGGGGATGCAAATGGCAACAGTTCATCATTTGCAGCTTTTGACAGTGTTGCATACTCTGCTGCTACTGACATCCAGAAGTCTTTCAGCACACATACAGGGAACTAGCAGTCTGTAATGTGCTATCAGAGGAGACATGGAATAGGGAGTCTTGCTGCTCTGATGGCAGGTGATGCGCGTAGATGGTGGAGATTGGCTGGCGTATCCAGTCTTTTCCGGGGTGTCTTCATTTGGGAAATACTTATTGAAACTGTCAAGGAGGCTCCAGAGGTGAGAGGCAATCATTTCTTTAATAGTTTGAATGCTGTCCTCAAGCTCTGGGAAAATTTCAACCCTTCTCCAATCCAATCGCACAGCCATCGCTCAGCTTTCTCTTAAATGCTATATGCTATATTAATTGACAGAATAAAACAGTAGTGTTATGGCCCAGTAGGGACATGTTTAAGCTGTTTATTATGTCCAAAATGTTGGCTTGCAACCCATTTTGGCTCTGTCAAATAATCAGCAGATTATATGACTGTCTGATAAGAATATGCTGAACATCCTAACGCAGTTCAAAGAGCCTCGTTAAAACTTGGGCATGAGAAAACCACCTTAGAAGAATCTCTCATGCACAAATTAGAATGTTGTCTGCCTGGCTCTGTGTTTCCTGGACGGGGCCGCCTTTTACATTTGCCTTTTGTATCTCTGCTCCTGTCTCCTTGAACCCCAGTCGGCCTCGGCAGATGGCTGCTCACACTGAGCCTGGTTCTGCTGGAGGTTTTTTCCTATTAAAAGGCAGTTTTTCCTCTCCACTGTTGCTACAAGCATGCTTAGTGTGAGGGATTGCATTCGAGTCAATGAGTCAATGCAATCAACTGGTTTTCCTTAGATAGAAAACTTTGAATCAATTTGACTGTATGATCTGGTTGAAATGTAAAATGTCTTGAGATGACGTGTTGTGAATTGGTGCTATATTAATAAACTGAATTGAATTGAATCATACAAACGGTGCATTGATGGAAAGAATTTTAAACAAAAAATTAAGCAGTAATCCATTGTTTATTTGAAATTATATTATCTAATATTATCTAACAATCCTTACTTAATAAAAAGCCTGAGACCACCTGCTCACTCTTATGGTTGGAAGTTAGATTCATTTTGTGCATTTATATTTTTTCCATAATTATTTAACGGCTCCAGAAATCATCTTGTGACCCCAATTGGGGTTGTGACCCCAAGGTTGAAAATAGCTGCTTTAAACAATGCAAAGAAATAAGGGGTAATTTCTTTTTTTAGTACTTGAAATTCTGTGCATAGTAAATGTAAAAGTTCCTGCTGCAGCTAAACTGTCTTTAAATTAGACACCATTCTGTAGTGGTCCTGAATTTTGTTTAATTTCCTCTGCAAAAGTCTTAAACAAATGATGAGCCTACCTTCTTGCACATACTAGAGAACATCAGACTATCACCATAGTGTAAATATTGAGATGTGGTTTAAACAGTGGTGTTGGTCATGGCCTAACAATAATGTGCATAACTTCATCTTGTCTGTGTTCGGCCTAAAATGTTCGGTCAGAATGACCCTGTTTTATCTGAACAGGGTTTATGTTTTCATCTTCCAGAACCAAAAAAATAAAGACAGCTTATGTTTTTTTATGCACATATGTAAATGAGCAATTCCAATTCTCAGGAGCTTCCTATCAGTCACTTATCATCTCTAGGATTCCTAAAAGTAACTCCTGTCATGTGTTGTTAGATGATTTTCCACTTAACATAAGTTCTTTTCTTAATGAAATTAGCTCTGATTAGTTCCGTTGTGCTTCAGGACGTGAAGTCATATGCATATTGTCAATTGTCCTTTAAAAGCTGATAACATGCATGTTTTGAATATTTGCCATGCGCAATACATGTGATGTGTAATTGCCTCATTTCAAGGCCTGTGCAAAACTTGAAGAAAAACTAAAGCTGGTTATTAAACTGTGTTGGTTGAGGGCTGATCTAAAACTTCCAGGACATTTTATTTTGGAGACTGGAGTTGACTACATCTGATCTACTATATATGCTTTTGATGTTGCGTCCTGAGTTTGTCTGCTGAATGATAAACACCCCAAAGGCACCTATTTTTCTTTTGAAACAACTTGCATCTTGATAAGCTGGCAGCAAAGCCCCAAGCCGACCAAACAACTTCTCCAGAGTGTGCACGGAGGCTTTGGGGGGCTTTCAGTTTCAAAGAGCCTTTGTACATGATTATCTAATATCAGCTGGAGGAAATACAACTCCCAACAATTCCAAAGTAGGACACAACAGATGGCAAACCCATGAATTTGAAAATATTATACATTTTTCCATCCAGAACTGTCAGATTTTTCATCCTAGTAATGTGTTTGGGTGCATGCATTAGTGCAGGAGAACTAGCTTGTGCTGCTGCTTCTACCTCTATGTGTGCATATCGTGTGGTTTTGTAGAAACTGGGTCAGTACAAACCTGATTCCCTGTTAAGAAAGCAGACCATTTCAGCATCAACAACTCCTAAAGTTGTGAATAATCCATCACATCAGGTCAGACAGGCCTCACATTCCTCTCAGGAAATAAAAGGCACTGTCGGATCGTGCACAGCCAGGTGTTGGTAGCACTAATGGGGGATGTCACTTCATCTAACAGACTCTCACTAAGGTCCCACTTAGCATTCAGGGCATCTGGATAGCTGAACCTGCTGAACAACACAATTAGCACACAAGATGTTTCTAAATGCCAAGTGCAGAATTACTGTCTCCTCCGTAGACTACAAAGAAAAAAACGTCCAAAGATCAAACAGTTTGAGAGATCTAAATGCTTACTCAGTCTTTATACAACCTATTTTTACCTAGTTGTAATTCCTGAGTGCATCAGGAGAGAATTCACAGCACTATATTTCCACATTTAGTTATGCTACAGCCTTTTTCCAAAATATCATTCCTGCACATAATTAACCTTGCCTGCAAGCAAGGGTGTTCCAATACATCTTTTTCATTTTCATTACAGTACCTGTAATGTGGCTTTAACTATTAAATCAGACCAATTTCCAATATTGATATTGGATGGAACATCAGCATTTGTGTGTTCACAAACATACAATAATCTTTCTTTACTCAATCTCCCCTCAACTAACCAAGAATCAGCTCATAACGGGTTGGTCATTGACTTGCAGTATTAACCCACCAACCAAAATTAGTTGAAAAGACGTCCAAGCACATCTACATTTCGTTGAACTGTCAACGATGAAAAGTCATAATTTTTAGGTTGTTGAAAAGACGTTGGAAACTGGGTTTGCAATGTCTTTTCAAGGTCTATTATTGGACTTAAGTGGGACAAAATCAGACCAACCAAACACTGCCTAATTTTCAACAACTATTTTAAAACTAGATTAAGATGGACAGACGGTGTGTTTGGGGGGAAAGCTTTAGGAAGGACATACAGCTGTAAAGAAAGCAAGAGCTTCCGAGCCCACAGCTGAACTTAACTTAACATTGCAGAAGAGGAAGATGCAGGCATAACCTCTGCTATAACATTGGTTTTGTCAGGATCCGAAACTTCCGAGTAACAACAAGAAGTGCTTAGTGGATTTTTGACAAAGATTTCTGTGCATTGTTACCTCCTAGCTGGCTAAAACATTTACTTGACTGTCCCACTTTCCCCTCAACAGATTTGGGAG